ATTTTGCCGACGACATGCGCCACCCCAGCCGTAGCAAGACGGGCAGACTCAGCAAAACTCCCCCCCCGGGCCACGACCAACGTGTCGTCCGCGTAACAGATTACGCTCAAGCCCGGGAGGAGGGCACCTCTCAGCACCCAGTCATACCCGATATTCCACAAAAGGGGGCCGAGCACCGACCCCTGTGGAACACCGCGCACGACCGTGTCCGGTACACGTGACCGATCTGTCCTCTAAGTAGGAACCCACCAGCCGGCGAAGGTAGGGGGGCACTCTATGTCGTTCCAGCGCCCCCCCTATCACGGACCAGGGCAGGGTGTTAAACGCATTGGCGATATCGAGCGACACCGCCAAAGCCACCCCACCCCTGGAGACGGCCTCCTCCGAGAGGGCTCGCACGCGAAGGATCGCGTCTACCGTTGAGCGGCCCTCTCGGAAGCCATACTGCTCCGCCGACAGATCGGGTCCCACCCCGACCAGATGCTGGATGATGCGGGCTGCCAGAATGCGTTCCAGCACCTTGCCCACCTCATCCAGCAACACGATGGGACGGTACCCGGCGGCAGTATCCGCCGGGCGCCCCTCCTTTCTCAACAGCACGAGTCTGCCCGTCCTCCACGATGAAGGAAACCATCCCGACTCGAGGCAGGAGTTGTAAAGTCTCAAGAGTCGGTCTCATAGGGCTTATTATACACATACATATATTTAATATACATCCATAACCTTGGAAAATACATTTTATATTTATCATATAAATATCTTCCCTTGGCGGGATTCGAACCCGCGACCCCCTTGTGTAGTAACCATGTCACTTACCACTACACCAGACGGCCGTTGAATTAAATATGGTTAAGTTCATTATCTTCTGCTAAAAAGAAATCTTGCGTTTTAAATGACTTTTTTTGTCATTTAAATTAGCTTCGCCATTCTTATTGATTATATTTTAATAAGAATGAGCTGCGGTAATGAATCCTGAGCTAAATCGCGAGTTTGTTAAGCCAATTAGAAATACATTGAAGATTTTTGTTTAGGCGCGGACGTCGGATCCTGCTGTTGCAAATCCTGGTGCTTTTCTTCGTGCCTCACGCTGCGCTTGTGCTCCAGAATCTGCCTATCATAACGGAGCTTTCCTACGGGCTGGGCTCCTTGACTGACGCTGATGCTGAGGTAAGAGACTGGTGGTAGGACCTCTTGTGAGTCCGTGCGGGTAGGTACCATCGCCCTGCCTATTTCTGCCGTGAAGCAGTAATGCGTTTCGGTTTGAAGGGTGGAGCAGCCGCTGTAACTATACTGAGATCTTAGAACTTATACCTCAAGGTGGGTGGCGCATTTACGTTGTCCATGGGCTCCAGAAACCGCTTAACACCAGGTGGGCTGTGAGCTCGTCCACCCAACTAAGCAATAAAAAAAAATAAAAAAAGAGATTATTAGGGTCAGTACGGCAAGACCACTGCTTCCTGTCTTTGAAGAAATCACGGTTTCCCCTTTAGAGGATTATAGCCATAATGATGTCTATGGGTCACATCGATCGCTTGATGTCAACCGGTAATTTCGTACTGTAGTCTTCGTAAAAGAAGGAAAATCAATCTCTTAAATTAAACCAATATGTCTAGTATGTAACGTGTATTCTCACTAGTACGTTTGATTGGGAAAGTTTTTATTTGACAATGCGGCATTTTCAAAATTGAGAAAAAAATATATACATTGTCATTTTATTGTTGTAAGTATATAAGAGAATTATTATCTATATATTAATACGTGAAGCAAAAACTTTGTATCCCTTTTTACGAAAATTGCGCGGACGGAGGAGTATGAAATTTTCCACACTTATAGAGAATATAGAGAAGAAGTGCACAATGCTAATATTTCTTTTTAAATAATGCATAAAAGATACATTAAATCAATAAAGAAAACATTACACACACTGCATACCATGCATATTTGACGCACACTCGCATGCATACTATTTATTGTCAAACTTTTGTTCTTGACGTCTGTGCTCAAATTAAGAATACATTAAATTATAATAAAGAAATATAGTCGAAGAATTATGGTCGAATTTCGACTACTGCGGGACCACTAGTATTAAGATAATACCTGTCCACAGATCTAGCAAAACAGCCGAGAAAATACAAGTATGTTATTACGACAATGCCGAATTAAATTTCATACTAAAATAACATTCTCTAGGCCCGAATCCAGTATAAGCTGGATTCCTAGGATACCCTTGAGCTTTTCGGGGCGCAGAATGTGCTCGTAAAGTGAAAGCTCGCAAAATAAACATCTATATTAATCACGTAAGAACACACAGATTAACAGAGAATATTTGGTTGTTATATTTGGTTTTCAGCGAAGTAATAAATATTTAAGTAGCCTTTATCATAATTAAATTTGCATAAAAAGTATTAATAAATACTTAATCTTGTTCATAGTTATTTTATGTCTGAAATCTTAGACTCAGAAAAAAAATGTTTGAGCGGAAACCTTAGGGACTTCATAGAGAACATTTACAACAGTGCTATTTTGAAGTGATTTTTTCTTTAGAACCGTTCAGATAATATGAAAGTAAATAAAACGAACGGATATGAAAGTAAATAAAAAGCAGTAATGCGTTTCGGTTTGAGGGGTGGGGTAGCCGTTGTAACTGTACTGAGACCTTGGAACTTATATCTTAGGGTGGGTGGCGCATTTACGTTGTAGATGGGCTCCAGTAACCACTTAACACCAGGTGGGCTGTGAGCTCGTCCACCTATCTAAGCAATAAATAATAATAAAACCGAAAATTATTGTCGAAAAGTGACTTTAAAAAGAGACAGATTCTTCGCCACACGATAACTGGAGGTTCTTGGTAATCCTTAACCTCAAGTGTGCCGTGAAATATTGGTGCCTACATTGATTTAATTCGCTGAGTGAAATTTTATGGCCTTCGAAACGGCCATTAGGTAATAAAAGGAAAAGAAAAAATGTTTGTGGTCGGGTTTTCTTTAAATTATTACCGGGAAATACACGATAAATCCAATTACAGTAATTGGTTCTTGTAAGTAATCTTAGACATATTGCTTGTGAACAGATCTTAATTTATCATCTTCGTGTTGAGTATTGATCCTATCTCTGAGCTGAGGGATTCGAGTACCATTCCTCTTGAATCCACACAGATAAGGACTTTTCAGGTAGTCGATAGTTCACCATCAGCTTGAACAAAAGAACAAACTTTGAGGAGCGGTGGAGGCATTTGCTGTTAATGTCTATTAGATAAATTCCGGAGGCAGACTTTGTTTGTGTCCATAAAATAGCTTAATAAAATAATTAATAAAGTTTTTGTCTTCCACCAAACATTTCATTACGCAACTTTGGGATTCCGTTGTACATTTTGTTGGTTCAGCGTTTTCAGGCGTATACTTTTATTATATACTAGCGACCCGCCCTCGCTTCGCTTCGGAAACATTAAAACACACATGAAACCAAAAAAAAAAAATTAAAAAAAAAAAAAAAAAGTAGCCTATGTTCATCAGGGACAATGTCGGCTTCTAATGGAAAAAGAATTTTTCAAATCGGTCCAGTAGTTTCGGAGCCTATTCGAAACAAACAAACAAACAAATCTTTCCTCTTTATAATATTAGTATAGACAAGACATCCAGCAAGGAACAGCCTATGTCACTCAGGGATAGTGCAGCTTCCAAACAGTGCAAGAATTTTTAAAATCGGTTCAGTAGTTTCAAAGCCTATTCAATACAAACATACAAACAAATCTTTCCTCTTTATAATATTAATATAGACTAGCCGTACTTGCGTGCTTCGTTGGGCAAATAAAATTAACATTATTATTTATTTTTATTATCATTAGGGAGTCCAACACTCATATAAATATTAGCCTATCCATTAAGTACATGTATTGTATATGCATGTATGGTTCAGTCGTTATAACGGAACACCCGTAAAAACCACTGTAGATTTATATATTAGTATAGACTACTATACTATAATATATATACTATACTTATTGAACTCGAATTTGGTGAGATCGAACTATTCTGACGTCAATTCCAAATTTATATTCTAACACGGCCGTCGTTCGTTTAGTTTTGTATCTGCCGAGATGGGTAAAAGAGCTCACGTAATGTAAATCGATTACCTGGAAATTCCATCACGAAAATTATCCGGAACCCGTTTTGCAGTAGTGAGTTCGACGAATCATACGACCGGGCATATGACCGGTTGAGCGGTGGCGACGACGTTTGGCTCATAATACGCACAGTACCTTGAGTAAGTCATGACGTGCGGCTATAACGCTTGTTCGTATATAAGTTACGGGCGCGATGGCGCCGACGGGCGTTTGATGCGAGATTTATGCCTGATGCCCGGCCCTATCAATAAGTTTTCCTTTCCACCAGATGCCTTTACAGAGTTCTGGAGTTCTTTGGACACATTCCTCGAAAGGAGTATCACAATCTTGAAGAGGTGATGGTGACAGGCAAGATAGACGGTAAAAGTCCCAGAAGACACACTCCCATGATGGTCCGACCAGATTAGATATTTTTTGGACATCAAGCTTGCCCTCCACGAAGCCAAGGATCGTAACAGATGGAGTACAATCGTACAAGAGAGAACTGGGGAGTCACTACCCTCACTAATGAGGAAAGCGACGCAAGAAGGACGTGCAATAAGTTTTAAAACCAGTGGAACTAAAATTACGCCGGGCAAAAATAAGCGAATATTACACGCTTGGACTATCGCGAGAGTCAATCGACAGCGTGCCCCGAAACTTCTAATTGCGTTTCTTCCATGATTGCGTGTCTTTTTTAGCAGTCGAGCAGTTTTAAGTTCGTAATTATCCAAAATGGGATTATATTATGAACAAAAAATCTGTATCTAAATCTAAGTAAAGTTTAGCGAGTAGGCAAATACTCACATAAGACTAAATGCAGCTTCACATCTATGAATAAATAATATTTATTCGTAGCTCCACAACGTATGACGCCTACGTCATCTCACCTGACGTTTTATTATCAGCCAGTATTATCGTCAATTAGTTTTGTATATAAGTGCGTGTTGTGTTTTTTTTATTGCTTACTAGACTAGACGTCTACAACGTAAATGCCGCCACCCACCTTGAGATATTAGTTCTAAGGTCTCAGATACTGCTTCACAACAGAAACAGGCGGGGTGGAGGTACCTACCCGTGCGGACTCACAAGAGGTCCTTCCTACCACCAGTGATTACGCAAATTATAATTTTGTGGGTTTTTTAATTTTTATTACGATGTTATTCCTTCACCGTGGAAGTCAATCGTGAATATTTATTAAGTACGTATTTCATTAGAAAAATCGGTACCCGCCTGCGTGGTTCAAGCTGTGTTCTTTGTAAAATTTATCTGACTATTGTTGTTCTCGCCATTGTTTATCTTCCGTGCAAGCTACGAGTGGCTGAAGGCTAGTACAGCTAGCCACTTCAGAAGTATCTATTAGAAGAGTATTTATTTTGTTTGTGCGCTTCTTGTTGAAATAAATTGTCTGTTATAGCTACGAATGTAGTGTCTTCGTTTGTCTCGATGTTTCTTTGATAGTCTCCATTCTACGATGAGGTACTTTGATGTTTGTAAAGTGCTTCGTTTACGGGTATCTTGTCAGACGGTGTTTCGATATGTTCTTACAATTTCTAAGTACTATTTCTTTTCAATTTTGTAGTAATGGAATAAAGCCAGACAATCTTATAGGGTGTTAAGAGATTTTTTTTAAAGAGAAACTGAATACAGCTTAAAATTTATATCCAATTTCAAATTAGTTCTACCATGTTGAAATTACAAGACCGTGTTTTTAATTGATATTTTTTGGAACTAGAATATTGTGTGATAACAAAAAAAACTTCAGAGGTGTCAAGGGACACCCGGATGGAACGAAGTTCCTTTCGATTAATTAGTGAAGGAATTGTAATTTTTTTTAAGTTATAATAATAAATTACGGCATTATGAAGAAGAAAAAAACAATACTATGAACTAAATTACTATTGTTGAAACGCTATCTCGAGAAACTGTACTCATTACGCGGACCAATCGGATACGAGCAATGTCACGCGATAAGCGCCTACACGTTGATTGGTCAGAATGACGGATCTAAAAAGTGTCGTGACAACTTTTCGTAAGAATTTTTTCCGTCTAGCCCCCTTTCACA